TTTTTTTTTTTTTTTTTAGTTTTTTTATTTATTTTTGCCGCTGTTTTTTTTTTTTTTGCAGAGAGAACCACTGAGGATATTCTATGAATCGTTGTCAAAACAGATACCATCAAGTGAAATGGCAGAATTTTGGTGAGTATCATTATGATATCTATTACAGTACTTCTATTTTCCTTTTGGATAATTATGTTTCAACGTCTGGCCGGAATGTTTTTCCTGCTGAAATGTCTGAACTATATTTCATTCCTTTCACAACGAGAAGTTTGTTTTCTTCGCCATTTATATCAAAACAAACAAGAAGGGGCAAATTTTTTTTTAATCTATAAGTTCGGTGGAAATTATGGTTAAAATATTTCATCTGATAGATTTTATATCCATTTTAGAGCCTTTATAATACTGGGATCTTATCAAGTCATCCATCTTGCAATTGTTTATCTGTGAAATTATGAATCTTGTTAAATTGTTGCCTTTAAGAAAAGTGGTTTTATGCTAGATTTGTGGCTTGTCACTGTTTCCATTTTGTGGATGATGTGATTTGAATATGATGTTCTAAGTTAATGCAACTACCAAGATGTAGCTACTGTTTTAAGGTGTAACAATCAGGGCCGTTGAGTAGCCCTGCTGTACAGTCCACCAAGCAGTCCCTGAACTACTTGTTATGCCTAGGGAAGAAGGGGCTGAGGTCTAGATGTATTGAAGCCACTAGGGTCTGAAGAATCTAACAGAAACTGTTTTTATTCCTTCCAGAAAAAAAACTGCCTTATAATCTGTTATAGCTGTTTTAAATGGACCTTACAATACTTAGAGTTGGAAAACAACTAAGAAACCAATACTAGAAAGACTCCTAAACTGGAAGGGCAGCCCAGTGCACGATGCTCCCGCCAATGTGGGTTCTGGGGGAGGACAAATGTACGCAGCCTTATCTCTGCACGTACAGAGAGGCTGTTTCCAAACTCCTAAACTAAAAATAACTCTTAAATAAGAATAAACCAATATTTTTTCTTAAAAAAAAACTCTCATAATAAGAATCCTAAACTGATGAAATAACTCCTATAATAAGATTTTTTTTTCATCAATAAAACTTTACTTCATTAGATGGAAGAAATATATACAAATTATACAATCAAAGGTCAGAGAGCATGGAAAAAATCATCTCTCCCATATATTCTTATAAATTTCTTACAATTGTGCTTGAAAAAATTGTTCCTGATCCACTTCCTGTTTAGATAATCTACCTGCCATTTCACTTAAAGATCTTTTCATCCAATGGACTTACAACTGCAATTCCTTGTCAGCCACTTAAATTTCCTGATTTCACTTCTGTATCTCCATGGCATTGCATGGTTCTTAAGTAGCCAATTAATTATCACCTTGGAATCTCCCTTAATGATTTACTTTTCCATTTGCATTTCATTTGCTTGATGCTCTCCCTGTGATACTGCTAGCAATTCTGCTCTGAAAAGATTTTCCTACTCTAATAGAGCCCGAAAGCAATGATGTGACCTTCACCTTCATTCCTAAACACACCTCCAATTCTAGATGGTCCCGGATTTCCCATACTACTACCATCAAAGTTGAGCAAAGCTTTATATACCCCCTTGTTGGTGTCTCCTATGTCCTTTGAGTTATACTCTTTCTTGTGGATGTTCTAAGTTGACACCCAAGAGGAGCTATTTAAAATTAAAAGCCAAAGGTAACATGGGGCCCACTGTTATGGTCACACCAACCGGCAGCGCACTGCGGCGCAGTCATAGGCAGCAGCACGCATAGCAGGCCGCACAGCAGCACGCACCGCCCGACAGCGCGCAGCACGCACCGCCTGGCAGCACACGGCATGCACCGCCCGGCAGCGCGCAGCACGCACCGCCCGACAGCG